TGGTGATGAGAACATAGTCTCATGAAAGCACTGGCCTAGGTCACAAAGTAAAGATGTTAACTATGGATGTCTCTGTGGTAGTATCATTTCTTTAGCTGAAATAGCTGAACATATTAGAGCCAACGATCTTCTAATATATCAATAATCATCTCAAGATAAAACCTGTATTCTGAAACAAAATCTTTTCATGTACCTATAAGAAAAAAAAGAAGCATTCATTCAATTATTGAGGGTATAGTCTGCCATGGATCTTACTGAAATTTATATTTTTCTGTAAGCTGTAACAAGTTTCTTGCTGTAGGCATGAGGATATTGGTCTTGAAGATTCTGGTAGTGGCATCTGATGATATGAGAGGCAATAGTGGAGGTATGATTGTAGGTGGTAACGAAGGGAATTATCGGATTGTCCGCGTTTTCATCCGATCAAAATGAAATATGATGTGATCATTTATATTGGTCAAGTTCGAAGTTGACGATCTTTCGATGAACGGATTTTTAGTTATTGCCCTTGCCTAAGGAAAAGCCTGTCATAATTTGCTTTTGAACACAATGGAGACTACACTTTTCGTCCGAATTATATGAAATTTGTTATGATCATTTAATACTGATGAGCTCGTGGACAAGTTCAAATTTGACGATTTGACGGTTTTTCGATCAACGGAATTTTTATACGCCCACATGAAATATATATATTGCCGTCACCTATGTCCGTCCGTCGGTCCGTCCGCCCGTCAACAATTGCTCGTAAACACTCTACAAGACACAATTCTTGACGGATTTTGACAAAACTTGGTATGAGTGTTCGTAAGCACCCAAGGATGAACCCTTTGAAAATCAGAAGAATCGAAAAATATTTAGTATAAGTTATTGCCCTTGTTCTTGAAAACGCGTTCAATTTTTAGCACGTTATCACCCCAGAAAGCACAATTCTTGATGGATTTTGACGGAACTTGGCATGAGTGTTTGTTATCAATCAAGGATGAACCTTATTGAAAATCAGAAGAAACGAAAAATATTAAGTATAAGTTAATGCCCTTGTTCTTGAAAACGCGTTCAATTTGTAGCTCGTAAACACTCTAGAAGGCACAATTCTTGATGGATTTTGACGAAACCTGGTGTGAGTGTTCGTAATCACCCAAGGCTGAACCCTATTGAAAATCAGAAGAATCGAAAAATATTAAGTATGAGTTCTTTCACTTGTTCTTGAGAACGCGTTCAAGTTTTAGCTTGTAAACACACCAGAAGGCATAATTCTTGACGGATTTGGACGGAACTTGGCATGAGTATTTGTTATCACCCAAGGATAAACCCTATTGAAAATCAGAAAAATCGAAAAATAATAAGTATGAGTTATTGCCCTTGCTATTGCACGTTCAATTTTTAGCTCGTAATCACTCTAGAAGGCACAATTCTTGACGGATTTTGATGAAACTTGGTGTGAATGTTCGTAATCACCCAAAGATGAACCGTATTGAAAATCAGAAGAATTGAAAAATATTTAGTATGAGTTATTGCCCTTGTTCTTGAAAACGCTTTCAAATTTAGTTCTTAAACACTAAAAGGCATGATTCTTTGCTGGATTTTGACAAAACTTGGTTTTATTATTCAGTCCCGTGCTGAAGATTGAATATTTGCCTTGAAGAGTTTTCACGAGCTAAAAATTGAACACGTTTTAAAGAACTAGGGCAATAACTCATACTCAATATTATTCAGTATCGCCCTAAAGAGTTCAAAAGAAGTGTATGACTGAAGGTTGAATATTTCATACTGGTGATTGTTACTGCACTGCTAAATATTTTTATTCAAAATCAAAGCTGCCAGTGGGCGTATATTACCTTGCCTAGCAAGCTATTTTAGTTATTGCTCGTAACTTAGTAAAAAAGCATAAAATTTTGTTGGCTTGTGAACGTGATAGAGGTGACAGTTTTTGTCAGAACAGAACAGAACAGAACAGAACTTTATTCTTTTACAGCAAAAGACATGCTGCTACAAGAAATACAAAAACATCAACGATATGACATACACATAGTTAAACAAAATAAACATTTCAATTAAATATACAAATATAAATAATATAGATTTGAAATATAAATAATATATAATATAAATACATATTTGAATTATAGATATATAATAATAGTTAGATTAATGGCGGGAATCGAAAATGTTGGACAATATATAAATATTTTCGATTTGAAATATAAAGAATACATATTTGAATTATAAAGATGTAAATAATATAAATGTCATTGGACAATTGTGAAATATATTGTAATAGTTAGATTGATGGCGGGGATCGAAAATGTTGTACAATAATATTAATAAAGTTACATAATTTGTTAAGTTGGCTGTACTGTTTGGAGTTAAAGATGTTAGAGAAAGCTATACTATTATTATAACATTTATAAGTAGTTGGGATATAATGGAATCTAATATTTTCAAAGTATGGACAAACAAAGATGTAATGATATTCGTCTCCAATATCGTGTCTATTACATAAGGGGCATGATCGTTCTTTGCGCTCGATGTTAAACCATCTTCCAGTTTCTATGGGGAGTGGCATATTGGCTGTCCTGAATTTACATAAAATTATCTTATTTCTATCATTTAATTTCAATAAGAATCATTACTAAATTGTGTGTGTTTGTTCAAACAATATCTTGCACAAATTAGATTTTTGGTACAATTTGACACAGATTAGTGCCCCCTCCCCCCTTTGCCCCTTGATATGAAAATTAAAGCTATCTTTATTCTAGTCAAATCACTAAATCCCAAACCTGTAGTTAGTTCGGGTTGCCTTTTACTTTTTGGTCGGTGTAAATATTTCCGAACTCTCCCACCATTTGCCAGTCTAGTTTGTAATTGTTGGGGATAATGCATTTCCTCTCAAGTGCAACTTGATGAAACCTTTTCGGTGTCTTGAATCCTCCGCCGAATGCGGACCGCCTCCGCCACCCCATCAGGTCATTTGAGACTTGATATTCACTAAATGAAAAGCACGTTTTTCTGATACAGGATGCAATTAAAAAGTTGGAATGTTTTTATTACGTATCACGACACGAAACAATAAATAAATTGTACATAATTTATACATATAAATCCTTCCGTGTAATCACCGCTTGACAATGTTTAGAAATTTGCCTTCACATCTGATATGTTGACCTAGATCCATACATGGGAATAACTGTTAATTTCCTTAACAATCTTTGACAGTTCTGCTCTATCAATCTTGACAAAAGCTACCCTATTCTAGGAGTTGGATAAAACCCAGGTTATATTTGTCAGTATCATTACTGACCTAGACAACATACTACAGTCAAACACTACCAATATATGTATTATTACTGACCTCTACTACATACTACAGTCAACACTGTCAATATCTGCATCATTACTAACCTCTACTACATACTACAGTCAACACTGTCAATATCTGCACCATTACTAACCTCTACTACACACTAAAGTCAAGCACTGTCAATATCTGTATTATTACTGATCTCGACTACGTACTAAAGTCATACAGTATCAATATCTGTATTATTACTAAACTTAATTACAAACTATAGGCAAACACTGTCAATATCTGTATCATTACTGACCTCCACTACATACTACAGACTAACACCACTAATATATGTATCATTATTAACTTCTACTACATACTACATTCAAACACTGTCAATATCTGTATCATTCCTGACCTCAATTACATACTACAATCAATCACTATCAATATATGCCGCGCTAGTGGTTTATAGCCACTGCCCTAGGGAAACGCGCCAAAATTTGTTTATGAATACAATAAAGACTGGAGTTTTTATCCGATTTAAATAAAAATTTGGTGTGAGTATTTATAATGATGATAATGATGAGATCTTGGTCAAGTTCATAATTGAGGATTTTTCGATAAACGTTTTTTTAGTTATTGCCCTTGAGTTGCCCTTCAGTTCTCGTCTGATGTTATTGAAATTCGGTGTGCTCATCTAAAACAATGAGATCTAGAGCTGATTTCCTACTTTTTGAACATGTTAAATCGAGTCATTTCCGGTTTTACAAAAAAGTTCCAATTCACATTTAACAACTACTTAGCCATAGAAGGTCAACATATGTTGAAAGATTGCTGCAGCTGTTGCAGCCTTGCTGTAAATGGTGTGGAAAAAAAAAGAATTGACATTATTATATCTAAGTAGAAAAGTCCCACAAAATTCGCAGAACGCACTGCAATAAAGTGTGTTATAGAGTATTTCCTAAATTAAGCAGTTTTCCACGTCCCATTTGAGTGTGGAAATGTATTTACAATCTATTCATGGGGGAGCTGACAAATATGTGGCAAACGGGTCTAGTTTAATTCGTATTTATGAATTAATATATTCATATTATCGTTAAAATAACCCATCTCATATCAACTTATTTAGATCAACGAACCGCTGTCCCATCTTGTAATTCACAGTGCATGGTTTAAACTAAGATAAAGTATTACATTTGAATTTTTTATTTTTCAGTATGAAATGAAGATACAGCTTGTGTTTACCAAAGTTGTCTCTCTTGTCTCTCTTAGACTGACAACCTATCAAGAAAGACATACAGCCTTTAGATTTGCAGATTTTTATAATGTAAGACGATTAATTCCAAATTCAAGTTCCTTACAATGTAAAACAAATTGTATAGAAAATCGTCAGTACCTATTACCAAGGTGGACCAATCCTGTGTGGAACGGAAATTGTCTTAGGCAATTGCATACATGTCAGTCATTATGTTCATCAGATTCTGGTGGAAATAACAAAACAAATAAAGATCTGGATCACATTTCCACAGATTCTGAAGAAAGTAAAGTCAGGAGAAACAGAACAAACAAAATTACTTGTGACATCTGTAGTAAATCGTTTACCTCAAATAGTAAACTAACAAGACATATGAGAACACATACTGGAGAGAAACCTTATACTTGTGCTATCTGTAATACATCATTTAGTCATAAATGTAATTTAAAAACTCATATGAGAACACATACTGGCGAGAAACCCTACATATGTGAAGTTTGTAATAAGTCATTTAGTAGAAAGGATTCTTTAACAACACATCTGAGAACACACGCTGGAGAGAAACCCTATACATGTGAAGTTTGTGGGACCTCATTTAGTCAAAAAAGCAATTTAACAGCACATATGAGAATACATACGGGAGAGAAACCTTATATATGTGAAGTTTGTAATAAACCATTTAGTCATAAAAGTAATTTAACTGTACATATGAGAACGCATACACGAGAGAAACCCTATACATGTGAAGTTTGTAATGTGTCATTTCGTCAAAAAGCTCATTTAAAACAACATGAAAAGACTCACAAGGACTGTTGATATTTTTTCATTTTGAACAATGTTTTTTCCTCTGCTACTGGAAGAAAGCCTTTTGGATTCAATGTGTGGTCATATTAATAAAGAAATAAAAAAAACTTATCTTAGTTTCTTCTTAATTGCAAGGCGTTCAAAAAAGAGCTTCGTTTTTTTTTCATCCCGGGGACCCTAGTTCTCGAAACGGCAACAATTACGGCAAAACGGATTTCACTACGTTTCCAAACTCGTACTGAATACACAACGAAAGCTTGCCCTTTATCAGTTTTGGTGGTAGCACTAATAATCAGCAGTATCGACGGGGGCTAACGATATTGAACTGAAGTTGTAGGGTTGGAGGGTTTCGCCTGTCTAGCTCTGGGGGTTGATATACATGTAGTTGCTAAGCCCAAGTGTCGAAATGGTATTAGATGCTGGATGTCGGGTTTTAGATAGGGTTTAGAATAAATAACGAGATCTGAAATAGTATTGAATGTAATATGAATTGGTGACGACTGATGTTTGATAGTCATATTTATATCAGCCATTGCATCATGGGCTTCAAGGGTGTTTTAATCAGTCGCCATCCAATTCATATACATTGGTGACTTAATGATCTAACTATATTAGCTAAGATTATTAAAAACATGAAACACAGTTGATTAGCATTACTATATAATTGATATTCTTAGACAGTATTACATGTTGTTATATAGGCTATTATATTCGTTTAGTATATATCGACCTATTTTGCTCGGGTTTTCTTCATTGCGCTTCTTGTAACAAAGGACAAATTCGATTTTCACAAATCGATCGATAATTTTTTTTTTTGCCGAAATTAATTGATGGTATTTCGGGTGCTATTTGGCGGACAGATTTAAAACTTATATTGTGTAGTCTGCCATAAAGGTAAAATAAAAGTACACATTCAAAATTTTTGTATCACTTTTTGGTTTCGAAGTAAGTACTTCCGTTTGCACCACTTCCGCTGGAATTAAGTCGTGTTAAAAATAAGATATACATGATATTAATACAAACCTTTTAAACTAAAGTACCGGAAGTAACAAACTGGTCGCCAATTTGGTTTGCCTCATTTCGAGAAAATTACTATTCAGAGGCTATATTTTCCGATTAGCATGATTATGGTTTTAAACAATACGTTAAATGTCTGCCTAGAATTTGCGGACGCCGAATGTTGATTTTAAGTTTTGTCTTTCTTGAATGACCAGATGTTCTTTATCAAAGTTCAAAGTATCTTTTGACCTTTGTCAAATATGGCATAATACCGTCAGAATTACCTAAACTAGTAATTTCTCTTTCTAAGTACGTAGGTTATATTTACATGACAGAGTCTCAAAAAAAAGACAAGTCGTCTTTTTAACTTTCAAATGCGGATAATTCTGGATCTGTCTGGATATGAAGGCTCAAATTTCGACTGTGAATAGTATTACTAATGAGTTTGCTAAACATATTCCTTTCTGAGGCTAAGGTACAATTGGTCAAACGGATTTAAAGCTTCTACATCATACAAGTCAAAAGATATAGGTCAACAAGAGTCAATAAAGGTAAAATTGAAAATTTGGAAATTTCAAAACCCGTTCCTTTTTTGGAACTATAAAGCTGAAACAATTGACCTATTAACACAAACTGGCCAAAATAATGAGGTAATTGTGTGCAAAGTTCCTTTTTGAACAAATGTATCCTATGCGAGTTATGCCCCTTTCCCAAAATGTAAACAATTAGTAATTCAACCCGGATGTGCCACGCCCACCTCAACTTTTTTGTCATGGGTTAATTCATATTCAAATTGTCTTGTTGTGTTCCAAGTTTCAATGTTCTACATAAAATAGGTCATAAGATATATACACACCAAGCTCAAA